ACCTCATTCCTAAAATCAACCTATGGAATCATGTGACATTGATTTTCATTATTGATCATTGCTGATCCTTGCTTGCTCTAATTTAAAAGAAAAAACAATCTTCTAAATATAAAGGCTACTTTCTCCTTCAGTGAATCACATTTCCGTGTGCTTGCTGAATTTGTAAAAGCAAAATACTAACTGTGTTATTTGTAAAATCCTTCCAACAGTTTGGATTTAGATGGAGATACGAGCAAGAAGTGGTTTCGGGAAAAGGCAAGTTTTCTTCTTCTTTCCTTATTGAGCCTTGAAGTCTAACTTAGATGAGGAGAATTTTGTTATGGAAGGGTTTTTCTCACCTATCATTGCAGCCTCTTCAGGCTCCCCAAATCTGATGCTTCGAAGGCTGAAGAACTGCAGATAAAAATAGGTTTCATCTTATAGCAATAGCAGGTAGACTTAGATACCGCTTCATAGGGCTTTCAGCCCCTCTCTAAGCGGTTTACAGAGTCAGCATATCGACCCCAACAATCCGGGCCCTCATTTCACCCACCTCGGAAGGATGGAAGGCTGAGTCAACCTTGAGCCGGTGAGATTTGAACCGCCGAACTGCAGATAGCAGTCAGCTGAAGTGGCCTGCAGTACTGCACCCTAACCACTGCGCCACCTCGGCTCTTTTCCCCCGCGCAAATGCTTGCCTACTTAAAACAATAGCATTCCCCTTCTCCCCATCTCCAATTACGAGATGTTCTTTTGTTATGGGAACAGGCCGTCTCTCTCACAGCACCTTCAGTGGGGAGACCTTGATGGTTTCCAAGCTCTCCCGGTCTCTGAATTCCATTTCCCCCTCCCTCTCCCCAGTTCATTCGCAAGTTGAGAAGCACTAGGCTTTGAAAGAAGCAAAGCGGTCACTTTGAGAGTCCCCTGTGGAGCCCGACATTTCTGTTGTTAAGTGGGACACTTCTTAAGGGAGCTTTGCCCTGTTTCACAACTTTTCTTGTCGCAGTGGTTCAGGGAATCCCTGAAGTCATCATTAAGTGAGACTGGCTTCCCCATTGTCTTTACCTGTCAAAAGCGGGATCACGTGACTCCGGGATTACGCGACCGTCATAACTATGAGTCAATTGCCAAGCGTTTGAATTTGGATCACGTGACTAAGTCCCATTTTTTTCCAGTGCTGTTGTAACTTTGAACGGGTCGCCATATGAGCCGTTGTAAGCCAAGGACTACCTATCTATGGCGGGAGACTCCGGGGACAGGAGAGGGAGGGGGCGTTTCCCCCAACTGCAGCCATACCTGTCGTAACAGTCTCCCCTCGATCCAATCGGCACGTCAAACTCCACCTGGTCGTAGGCGTCGTAAGGCTGGGTTTTGCGAAGATCCCACTGGATCCCGGATCCACGAAGCATCACGCCGCTGGTGGGGGAGCGGGAGGGGAAACAAGAAACCGATCAACAGCCTTTCACCGCGGGGAGGGAAGTATGCAATGGGGTATGTAGGATGAGGGGAAGAGACGCTGCCTAAGGAGCAAATAGATAAGAGGCTGCTGAGCCCTCAGCTGTACAGGTACCGTATTTTTCAGAGTATAAGATGCACCTTTTCCCCCCTAAAAGAGTGAAAATTGTCTGTGCTGCTTGCTGTTCGCTGCAAGGAGGCAAATTGCTGCGAGGCAGAAGCAGATTATTTTCTCCCCTGGTTTTCCTGACCAAAAGCTAGGTGCGTCTTATACTCCGAAAAATACGGTAGTTCTCCACTTAACGACAGCAAGGGAGCCCAAAATGTATGTTGTTAAGTGAGGAAGCTGCTAAGGGAGTTGGGCCCTGTTTTACGATCTTTCTTGCCACAGTTGCAAAGGGAGTCCCTGCCTTTGATAAGTTAATAACAGAGTTAATTGAATCCGGTTTCCGCCACTGACTCTGCTCATCCGAAGGTCGCAAAAGGGGGTCACGTGATCTCGAGACACTGCAATCGTCATAAATAGGAGTCAGTTGACCAAACTGTCAAGCCCTGGCCCTCCCTCTCTAGTTGCCACAACTCGAGAGGGAGGGGATGGGAAATTGACGGGAGCGGCAGGCACAAATAGAAGCATATTCCAGACATACCTTTCTCAAGGCTATATCCCAGGGTTACCCACAGCGGGCCAGAGGGGAGTGATCTCTACAGCCCGGGAAATTGCTCAAATGTGATTTATGACACACCCTGGGAAACAGGGTCATAATTGGGCTGTAAATTACGTGCGGTCAGAGCTGGCTTCTCTTGCTCCCTAATAAATAACTGGATTTCTTTTTAAGCTTGGCTCGAGGCTCATGATTTAATTAGGGCATCTGTCGGAATCCTGACACAAACGCCTGGATTTTGATCACCCTGGGGATGATGTAACAACGGTCATGGGGACAACAGTCACAGGTCAATTGTTTTCAACGCCGTTGTGTGTTTCAGCCGTCACTAAGTAATCCAAGACTACCTTTGTTTGAAATAGGATGAATAAGATCTAGGAGAATCCAAGGATGGTGCTGGGGGAGGAAGAGGAGGAGAAAGCCCAAATGTTACCTAAAACCACAATTCTGGGCATCTTCCGCGGAGATCACCCCAATATCGATTAGGCGGTTTCTCCAAATCCGGTTGTTGGTCAGCATCTGTACAAACAATCATTCTTAGAAGATGCTTAACATGGTTAGATAAAGGGGAAAAGGAAAGGGAAGTAGTTTTTTGTCTTCAAATGGCTGAGCATTCTTGCAACATCCTACGCCGGGTCACTTAGAATGAAGGGCGTCTTCCACCCCCCCCAAAAAATCTTCCCCAAATCTCCCCGTCTTTCCATCACCCCCAAATCTTCCCAAAATTTCCCATCACCCCCTAAATCTTCCCAAAATTTCCTACTCTCTTCCCATCACCCTCTCCAAATTTTCCCCAAATCTCCTACCCCAAATCTCCCATCTTCCCATCACCCCCCAAATCTTCCCCAAATCTCCCACCCCCCACATCTTTCCAAAATCTCCCACTCTCTTCCCATCAGCCTCCAAATCTTCCCAAAATTTCCCACTGTCTTCCCATCACCTCCCAAATCTTCCCCAAATTTCCATCACCTCCCAAATCTTCCCAAAATTTCCATCACCCCCCCAAATCTTCCCAAAATCTCCCATCTTCCCACATCTTTCCAAAATCTCCCACTCTCTTCCCATCACCCCCAAATCTTCCCCAAATTTCCATCACCCCCCAAATCTTCCCCAAATTTCCCACTGTCTTCCCATCACCCCCCAAATCTTCCCAAAATTTCCATCACCCCCCCAAATCTTCCCAAAATCTCCCATCTTCCCATCACCCCCCAAATCTTCCCCAAATCTCCCACTGTCTTTCCCCCCCATCACCCCCCAAATCTTCCCAAAAATCTCCAACCCCCTCCCCAACCTCCCACTGCCGAAGCAGCCTCACCTCCTCCACCTCGTCCACCCGGGCGGAAAAATTCTTCACGAATTCGTAGATGTCGTCCATCAATCCCAGCGGCATATCCTGAGCGTTGGGAATAACGTATGTAAAAATTTAATCCTAGATCGAACGTAGACATCCCGCCACCCACAAATCTCACTCCCAGATCGACTCCGGACTTTCTGCAACGGCCACTGAGAACTGGGGAGCACGGACACGTCCTTAAACCGTCACCGCTCTTTTCCCAGCTTGACCGTTTGAAGAAGGGCGGACTTCCAACACCCCGAATTCCCCCCCAGCCCGTTTAAAAAGTGGTCAAGTTGGAAGAATAAAACCCCTGATCACCGTCATCAAAAATCACGCTTCGAAGGCACCAAGCTGTGGGGTTGCGAACTCCGCCCTGCGCCCTCCCATGCCCATATCCCCAATGCCTTCCTTACTTGGTGTACGCCTCCTGGACGGATGTAAGCGGCGTGCATCCGTGCTCCAGACACTCGCTCGTAGAATTCAAACATCTGCAGAGAGACGGCGGTTTAGCCAGTGGTAGGATCCTGCCGGCAGCTCCACTGCGCTGTATGGTAGAAGCTATTTTACAGCAGTACAGTAGAAGCCGCTGCGTTGATTTCGTGGCTCGCGCAGCTTTCCCAAAACTTAACCTTCCGCGTTACTCTGCCGCGCGAATCAGCCGAGAGGGTATAGGCGAGTCGAGCGCAGAGGCGGATGGGAGCAGCTGATCGTCGGTTCGCTCCCCAGCTGATCGTAGGAGCAACCGGTTTGTCTGCGCCAATCCGAACGGGCTGAATCCCACCCCTGGGATTTAGCGGTCTGGTTCACAAGCCCGCCCTCTATCCTTTCCCTCTTGCTCGGCAGTTCGTGGCTTCTAAACGGAGCCCGGATTTAGCAGTGCAGCCTACTGGATCACATAGCGTCCCTAAAGTAGATTCAGGTGCTGAATCCAGAAGGGGTGTGTGTGTATGTGTGTGTGTGTGTATGTGTATAGATTTTACCTTTTCTCTCTCCTCAAACATCCAGAAGAAGGGGGTCATGGCCCCAACGTCCAGGGCGTGTGTGGTGATGGCCATGATGTGATTCAACAGCCGCGTGATTTCTCCGAAGAGAACTAGGAAGCAAAAACCTGCGTTAGCTTCTGAACGGCTTACGGACATTGCTTCGTCCCCACGGTTACAGGATTAAAATTCATCGGGAATTGCCAATGGGCACCCACAGGTCGTCCTTGAGATTGTGGCGGTGGCCTAGAGGTGGAGCTCTGGCCTCACAATCAGGAGGCTGGCGAGTTCGATCCTAGGTACAGGCAGATATTCCTCGCTCCGGGCTCAATGAGAATAGATCTGCCGAACAAAACTCCGCTCTGGCAACAGGAAGGGCGTCGGGCCATTCCAACACTCTGCTAGCTCCATTCCGTTGCCCAGACTCCACCCCTCAAGGGATTATGGGGTCATTAAAAAGAAGAGGAAGATGATGGTGATCTACAGGTCGTCCTTGACTTACAACAGATTGTTTAGGGATGCATGAAAGTGACGACGGGCACTGGAAAAAGTGCTTTCCGACCGTTTTTTCGCAAGTTACGACCACTGTGGCATCCCCCATGGTTAGGCGATCAAAATTCAAATGCTTTGGTTCGTGCTTAACGACCGTTGCTGTGTCTCAAGGTCTCGTGACCCCCCCTTTGCGACCGTCTGACGAGCCAAGTCACTGGGGAAGCCCGATTCGCTTAGCAACTGGGTTACTAACTTAACCACTGCGTCAATTGACTTAACAACGGTGGCAAGAAAGGTCGTAAAATGGAGCAAAACTCACTGGACAAATGTTTCACTTAACCACAGACATTTTGGGCTCAATTGTGGTCCTTAAATGTGTCTTATGACCGTTTGGGACCTCATTCCTTGGAAATATTAAATATAATAAATATATTATAATAAATATAATAAAAATNTCTCTCTCTCTCTCTCCCTCCCTCCCTATCGAGTAGAGGCTAGCAAGGCGCCCCTTGATGTGAGTGACATTGAGCTGGCCACGCCCACCCAGTCACATGCCCACCTTGCCACGCCCACTCAGATCATATGAATGGTCTGCGGGATTTAAGGGGTCCAAATTTGGCAATTTAAGTCGGACATCCCTTTTTGCCGCGCCCGAGAACTGACACAACCACAAACCACGTTTGTTGTGGGGAAACCTGGAAACGTTACCCCCTGTGGATGGAAAGAAGGGGGATCTGGATGAGGCTAGGATGAAAACACAGGGGGGGGGGAAATGCAGAAATTGGGCAACGATTTCTCACGGAGAAGCCATTTCTATTTTGGCAGATCGGTTTTATTATCTTGTTTGCTCATCCTGGCCTGGTGTCCCAGCACCGGATTACAACAAAAACAGACACACACAAACACAAAACAAAGAGCCGTAGGATGCTGAGCCAAGATTCCTTGGGGTGCGGGGAGACGGCGTCCAGATCGAGGGGTGGATTCCTATCCTGTCTCTGCCCCCCCCCCCTCCCGGACGCTGATCTATCTGTCCACTTCGCCAAAGACAATATCCTGGGTGCCTGAAAGAGAAAAGACACGAAAATAAACTACGTTTCGCATGACCTGCGAAGTTGGGAAGTGGCTATGGGTTAAGGAGTTCCCATCCCCATCATCCCTGGCTGGCGTGGCAGATGGGAGCGGGAAAACGGGGATTCAGCGGTCCCCTCCCGCTCAATCCAGGATTCAGGGAAGAAAATGTGGCCTTCTTTGCATCCGGTGGCTGATTTTGGAGGGTGGCTTAGTCATACCATGCTGGCTGGGGGATTCTGGGAGTTGAAGTCCACCCATCTTAAAGCATGCTGGCTGGGGGATTCTGGGAGTTGAAATCCATTCATCTTAAAGCATGCAGACTGGGGGATTCTGGGAGTTGAAGTCCACCCTTCTTAAAGCATTCTGGCTGGGGGATTCTGGGAGTTGAAGTCCACCCCTCTTAAAGCATGCTGGCTGGGGGATTCTGGGAGGGGTTTGTAACCCTGGTTTAAGAAAGCAGCCCAGGGTCTCACTCAGCTTTGGTGAAACAAATTATGCTTAGTGCAAAGCTGAAAGGGGGGGGCGGGGCTGTTTGCTCTGAAACCGTATTGAATGTTTAAATTCTTTTTGGTCTATTGTGAGCATACCCAGTCTCCTCGGAAGTCGGCTGGCACCAAATTAAAATAAACTGAATTAAATTGTTTTCCCCTAGAAACATATCCTGTTTTCCCCCCAAAATAAGACCAATCTTAATTTGAGAGCACGCGCTAAGATAAGCCCTCCCCCAAAAATATTGAAACACAGCAGCAGCCATGAGGTGACCCCGCTTGCCGCTTCCTGCACCCCCAAAATAGTAAGACCTTCCCGAAAATAAGGCCCAGCGCTTATTTCAGGGGTCAAAAGAAAATAAGGCCCTGTCTTATTTTCGGGGAAACACGGTAGATACTTACCAATGATGGCTACCACATCCGCAAGCATGTGGCCCTTGGACATTTTATCCAACGATGCCTGCAAAAAAGGAAGGAGGAAGATTTAAGGGAAAGGCTGTTTGAAAAGAAGAGCCTTGGGTTTAGGGGCTCTGGATATTCTAAGCCAGGAGGAACAATAAACATATATAGATAGATAGATAGATAGATAGATAGATAGATAGATAGATAGATAGATAGATAGATAGATAGATAGATAGATAGATA